AGATAATTAGCGCGAGCTCGTTACGCTCCTCCTGCCCAGGAGCGCTTCTCGTGTGTGCTGCCTTTGGCTTGGGCTGATTAAACAGGATCTGGGCTTTCCCGGGGCTTTTCCAGCGCCTCCGCTGTCCTCCCCTGGGCTCGTCTGGAGCTGCGAGCGCTGGAGCAGGGTTTGAGAAGGGGCTAACCCTGGGGGCTCTCTGAAATAGCAAAATTAGGAGTTTAATAGCAGGTAGAGGGTGCTGTTTGTGAGGAGGAGAGGGGAGAAAAGGAGGGTTTTGTTAGCATGGGAAGGGGCCTCTTGCTCTCCCAGCCCCAGAGCATCTCTGGGTCATGTCCCCGATCCTGTGGGATGCGGCTCCTGTGCGGAGCTGTGTCCCCGCGGACCCCGAGCCGCTCGAAATCTGCCTTGTCTGCAAAAAAGAGAAGGGAAAAGGAAAAAGGCAAAACTGTCCTGACTTCACATTCCCAATTTATCCATCTTGGTGCTGCGGGGTGATCGATGGGGCCGCTGGGAGCAGCCTGATGGTTTTGATTTTGTTGGAGTAGTAGCAAAAACGCAGCGGGAACCGGGATGGATCGCGCAGGACCTGGGGTCGCGCTGCTTAGAGCCCTGAGCACTGCACTGGTTTGCCTCAGAAACGGTGGATTTGTTCCTTTTTGCAGTGCAGAACAGCCTCGTTTCTCAAGCAGGCCTGGGAGTGGTGGCAGTGGCTCCAGGGGGACCGATGCCTTTTGCTCCAGCAGAGCTGGTGGCAGTGGGGACCGGGGAGATGATGTGATCGGAGAGGGACCCCGCGACATCCCGCAAGGAATAACCATGTCCCGAAGAACAAGCCAAGCTGCCAAACAGCCAAATGCACCTGGAGCAGCTCCCTCCAGGTCCCCCTGGCTGGAGGGCCCTTGTCCAGGTGAAGAGGCTGCCAGGTCCCTTCGCATTTCCTCATAAAAGCCAGTTTTTCCTTTAATCAGGTAATGAGATAATTTTTTTGCGTGTTTTGGGAAATCCATCACATCTGGAGACACGCGGCTGCTCCCTGGCAGGGATCAGAGAGCCAGGCGCTGCTCAGCCCTGTGAAGTGATTAAATTAACTCGAATGTGTAACATTTCAGCGTGGAGTGATTCAGCAAGGCGCTGCATCTGCTGGGAGCTCTCTAAAAGAACTCTTGGAAGTTCATACGGATTGGTTTCCTTAAAAGGACCTTGTGTGTGTAATTACACCGAGCATCGTGCTGTTGCTCCCGCCCATGGATAATACGGTTGGGAACCCTGTTCATCACTGAGCAGGGAGGTTTTGGTCATTCCTCGTCCTTCTGACCCAAAGTCCCATCGGAAGGAAGGGGCAGCCTGTGCCCACGGCACCCGCTCAGCTCCACATCCCAACGGCGCTCACGCCACCTCAGATGAGCAGAGCCCGGGCCGTAACCCGCTCCGCGGGGAGGATAAATCCGAGCCGGAGCCCGTGTGCTGCAGGAACGGAGCACAACCTCCCCGGAGCGTTCGGTACCGCTGCTCGGAGCTAACGGAGCATCCCGTGTTTACGGAGCGGCGCGGAGGCCGGCGAGGCGAGCGGAGCGCGGGATTTTCATGGCTTTGCCCTCGTGGCACGGCCGAGCGTTTCTGCAGGCAGCTCGGGTTGCTGTGGGCCCCTGGGGAATCAGAGGCTTTTCGCAAGTAATTTTGATTTATCTCGGCCGTTAGGGCACAGAACTTAGCATGCAATTGTTTTCTGTGCCTCAGGAAGGGATGTCAACCTGTCGTGTTATCATTTATATCATATATATTGTATGTGTGTGTATACATTATATATATACACAAATATATATAAAAAATATATGTACATAAATATATATATAAAATTACATATATACAAATATATATTTATATAATATACATCTATATTTATATGCATATGTATATATATGTACATATGTGTATATATCATATATACACGCACTTTTATTTTAGCAAATGGTTCTCCCTGCCTCCTTTACCTCTTCTCATGAGCCTCAGCACCACGTACCTTGCACAAAGCCCTCGTGGGCAGCAGTGAACCCGCAGTGCGTGGCTGAGCAGTGCCCGGCTCTGCCTCTTCTTCCTCCTCTTCCTCCTCCGCGCGGTCGAGGTTGGAGCCGTGGGCGCATCCCAGGGCAGAGGGATGCGCAGGGGTGGTTAAAGCGGTGCCGGTTCTGCAGCCCCTTTGAGCACGTTGATCTTCAGCATTCGGGAGCTTTAGCAGGAGAGAGACCCGACTGGGCCTGCTGTGAATTGCAGGGGAGTAAGAGGAGGAGATCTCCAAGCAGATGTGAAAAGCAAGAGAAATCTGTTACCTCTGCATGTTGGGGTTGGAAGCACAGAGCTCTTGGAGAGCCGAGGGTGAGCGGGTTGTTTGTCTGCCCAGGCACCGCTTGCAGATGCAGTAGATGAGAGCTCACAGCTAATGCAAACAGTTTTCATTAAGAAATAATCAGAAATAAAAAGCCCTTTCACAGGTTGATAAGAAGTCGGTTGGTTTTTACAACTTGCCAGCAGCTTATGCCATGCTCAAAACCATTTATCTTTCCCCAGTGTTGGCTGCAAAGGATATGAAAAATGCAGTAGGTTGCACATATGTAATTAGACTTTTGGCAGAATCTCTGCCCTGCAGCTTTGCTAAGAAATTCAATAATAATAAATCATGTAGAATATTTAGAGGATTCTTTGTGAACAAGAGTTGAAATAACGTGTGTGGCACGCTTTATTCTTTGCCATACGCTGGTCTTGGCAGCGTTCTTGCCAGCTCCCTTGTCTAGTCGTGTCAGCTATTGAACCCCCTGCTTTGTTTCGCTCTTATCGCTGTTCCGATTGACTATTGAGGCTTTCCTGGTTTCCAGCCAAGTCCGTGTGCAGCCGTAATGACTGTTTTGTTGCCTTCCCTCGGTGCGTGCGGGCTGCAGCCGGTGCAGCTGGGCGCGCTCGGGGCTCTGCTTGCGCGGGAGCCACCAATGATCCTGTTCTTCCCCGGTGCCGCTGAAAATGAAACTCGTTCTGCGTGACCCATATGGGCTCACATATGGCAAAAGAGGGGAGGATGACGCTCGGGTTGTCCCCCTGCTTCTGGCATCGCTGCTTTTTCCTCTGCTAACGCACGGGCGGTTTGCGTGAGCGCTTGCCGTCGCGGTGCTCGCGTTGTGCGTCTGAGCTGCCCTGTGATCTTCCCGAAAAGCCTCTGCTCCTTGCTGGCAGGAGCAGGGCAAGGAGCATTGGGGTTGTGAAATGAGTCTTTTATGGAAACTTGATAAGAAGGAGTGAGAGCTGCCAAAGTGGGTGATTTCCAGCGGAACAGGAATAGCTGAAAGTGGAAGCTCTCATGCAGCACAGCTAAGCTTTCTTAGAAGGGTTAGCTTTCTTAAGAAAGCTCAGTTAGGCTGTATGCAATCTCCCCTTGGTGGGCTCGGATGCAGCGCGTTCTCTTGCCAGCACCGCTTTGCAGAGCGAACAAAACCCTCGTGGGCCCTTGAAAGAAAGGGAAGCGAAAGAGATGGAAGGAGCAAAACAGGCTGCGTGCGATGGCCCTTGAGCGGCACGGCTCCCATTTGGAGGAGGAAACACAAGAGCTGAATGTTGTCGGTCATGTCCCTTGCCAGGCTCGTTGGATCTTTCCATTAACCCTGGGAATTGAAGCTCGTGTAAGGCCCTATCATCCCGTAGCTGTGTGTGTGTCCGGTGCCCACGTCCCTCCGAGGCCACGTGGGGTCTCAGTTTGGGCAGGGGCAGCCAGCCCTTTGCTGGGCCCTTCCCCTGATGCTCGTTGCCCCCACTCAGCAAAACGTGCTTTTTCTCAGTAAAAATTCACCCGCAGCCGAGTGTCCAGGGAGTGGAGATCAAAGCCTGGAAGAGGAAGCCGGAAAAATCTGTTCTTTGAAGTTTAAACATGAGCAAAAGCCTTGCTCTGGTTTGCTGCAGGAGTCCTCAGAGAGCGCGTGCTTTATTGGCAATCCCATAAAATCCACAGGCGAGGAAAATGAGGGAAAAGGACAACTGGAATTGGGCAACAAAGAGCCACAAAAACCACCCACCCCAAAGTTCCGGTACTATGGGGTGTCTCTGAGTTTGCCAGAGCAAAGAACAGGAGCAGGAGGGAGCGAAACGGCTCTCCTGGCCAGCCCGCTGCGGATGGATAGTCCCTCCACGGTGCATTTTACTGGGCTGTGCTGTAGCTGGGAGGAGAGGCCGGACAAAAGGAGGCTCCCGGCTCCGGGTCTTGGGCTGGAAGAGAGCGGCTTATGCACGCGGTTAATCCTACCTGTGCTGGGGCGGCTGCGAAGCAGATAAGGGAGCCCTGAGCTTGCAGAGAAAGATGAGCCGGGCACAGGGTCCTGCTGTGATAATGCTGCAATGTCAGGGGTTAAAAAAAACAAGTTGTTGATATGAGATTCTGCATTTCCCTGCGCTCCTCCAGCAGGCAGCTGTAAGACTTGCAAAGAGGTGCTGCGTGGCATGACCTCGGGTGATGTTTTGCTGGGTGAAACCAGGTTTCTTCATGCCCAGACTTTGTTCCAGTGGCTCCGGCTGCTCTGCCTGGGTGTCCCTGGAGGATAAACCTTGGGAGACGCCTGTGTTACGCGGTGCCAGGCTGCCGTGCGTGCGGCGGGCACTGGGGTAATTCAATAGCCATCGAGCGAGCTTTGCTCCCCAGCTGGTGCTGGTGTCTGGCACGGGAACAGCTCGCTGAGTGCCATGGGGAAAATCCCAGTGCCCAGAAATGGCCTGTTCGGCACTTCCTCCCCTTCCAGGGGTTTTCCAGGCTCCTGGACATGGTCTCTGAAGGCTGCACTGGAGAAACCACGGCCAAATCCGAAGCGCAGGGGAAGGGGCTGGTGGGGCGCGCTCAGCCGCCTCCCCACGCTGCCAGCGTCGGGTTTCCCTTCCTTTTGCTTCTCCTTTCTGTCGGGGGGTGGGAAGCGAGGGTGGACTGTTCCTCATGCCCTCAACTGACCGGGCCGTGTTTTCTGTCCCCGCAGACAAAGGGGAGAACGGGGAGCCCTACCAGCGGCGGAGGGCGGCGGGCAGCGGCCTCCCCGACGGCCCCGCGGCCCTCCCGGCGCCCAGGGACGCGGCGCCCGCGCCCAGCGCCAGCAGCTGGAGGCGGATCCTGCCGCTCATCCTGGCCACAAC